TAGTCTTAAAGGTGCCACAGGACTCTCTGTTGCTTTTTAAAGTTCCTCCAAGTCAATGCTGTGAGCAATGTCATGTTCCAGGGCTGCCCAGAGGATTCAGGGGGCCTGGGGCAAAGCAATTTCGGGGGCCCCTTCCATAAAAAAAAGTTGCAATACTATAGTAACATGTATTTGGAAATGTAAAAAATAACTAGTGAAATACATTCAAAAATTAATTTGTAATAATTTGAAAATACACTAAATACATTATTTAAAAACATTAAAAGCTGTAATGGTATGTATACATTTGCAATTACATAATGGGCTGTTGCTGGGTGATGGTGATGGTTGGTACCAATGGGCTGTCGCTGCCTGGGGGTGGTGCTGCTGTTGCCCACGGCTGGGTGCGGAGCTGGGCTCTGGGTTCGGGGGTGCCCGGCTCACAGGGGCTGGGCTCAGGGATGTGGGGAGATGGGGTCAGGGGGGTGTCCGGCTCAGAGGGGCTGGGCTTGGAGCTGGGGATCAGGCTGTGGGGAGGATGGGGTCGGGGGGTTTCCGTCTCAGAGGGGCTGGGCTCGGAGCTGGGGGTCAGGGCTGTGGGGGGGATGGGGTTGGGGGGGTGCCCGGCCCCGGCCCCTTACCATGCCGCTTACCCCCTCTCCCAGGAGCCTCTGACATACTCGTGGGGCAGGGGGAGCCTCCGACATACTCGTGGGGATCCCCTGCGGGGCCCGGGGCCTGGGGCAAATTGCCCCACTTGCCCCCTCCCCCCCAGGCGGCCCTGAACTCAGATACCGGGCATGACAGAGGCTGGAGCAGGGAGAGGGGGGCACTGGGGCAGCCCAGCTCTGCAGGCTGCCGTCCTCTCCAGCCGCCCACGCACAAGGGGAGCAGGAGCAGGGACCAGCCAAGTGCCAAGGGGCAGGAGCACAGGCGCCTGAGGCCGAGCTGTGGGGAAGCGCTTACTTTGCCCAAAGCACGGGCGTCAGGGTCCTCTTTCTTCCTCCGCTCCACCAGACCGCCGCCCGAGGCTCTTTTCTTCTCCGTGCCCCCCGCTGGGGCTGACCATGGAGGCTGAGCCAGGAGGCAGCCGCCCCTTTCCTCCAGAAGCCCTGCTGTCACGCCCGTCGCCGGGCTCGTGCCACGTGCGCTAAGCAGAGCTGCGGAGCTCTGCCCAGCCACCGGCGCCCCCGCCAGCAATGAGAAGAATCGCATGGGATGGAGCGGCCACTGCACTGTGAGGGAGAGGGAGTCTGAGCCGCCGGCAGGCAGCCCAGGGGGTCCCCTGTGTCAGCGCGCCGCCTGCAGCCCAGTGGTGGTGGTGGTGAAACACAGCAGAGATCCCAATCTCATCCCTTTCTCTCCCACTTCTAATGTTGCTGCTACCTCTGGACTTGTGAGTGTTCCTGTTGGCATATGCTGATGACATAGAATCATAGGACTGGAAGGGACCTCAAGAGGTCATCTAGTCCAGTGTCCTGCACTCATGGCAGGACTAAGTATTATCTAGACCATCCCAGACAGCTGTTTGTCTAACCTGCTCTTAAAAATCTCCAGTGATGGAGATTCCACAACTTCCCTAGGCAATTTATTCCAGTGCTTAACTATCCTGACAGTTAGGAAGTTTTCCCTAATGTCCAACCTAAACCGCCCTTGCTGCTGCTCATGATCCAGGACCAGGGTACATGGCATGAGTGGAGGCAAGAGCTCTGGCCAAAGAACCTCCAAGCAGAAACTTCAAAGAGAAACTGCAGAGCTACAATTCATTTGCAAACTTAATACCATCAATTTGGGCTTGAATAGGGACTGGGAGTGGGAGTGGCTGGCAATTTTCCCTCTCCTGGTATTGACACCTCCTCATCAATTATTGGGAGTGGACCACATCCACCCTGACTGAATTGGCGTTCAACACTGGTTCTCCACTTGTAAGGTCATTCCCTTCTCTTCATGTGCCAATATATATTTATGCCTGTATCTGTAATTTTCACTCCATGCATCTGAAGAAGTGGTTTTTTACCCACAAAAGCTTATGCCCAAATAAATCTGTTATTCTTTAAGGTTCCACTGGACTCCTCGTTGTTTTTCTCCCAAGCAGAAGCGCTGACTTTCTAATGTGCCAGGGGGTGCTCGACCCTCCCCGGCTCTGCCCCAGGCTCTGCCCCCACGCCACCTCTGCCCCCAAACCTCCACCCCTGCTCTGCCTCTTCCCACCCCCGCTCTGCGTCTTCCCATCCCTGCTTCACC